GGAATATTCAGGACACCAGCCACCTCCTCCTTTGTTCTCCAGGCCACAGTGAGTGAGCATCTTTGCTCCATCACTTACTGCCACCATGATAAACTGTCCTGACACAGGCCCAAGAGCAACCAAAGAGGCCAACCAAGCCTGAAACTTCTGAAACTGTGACCCACGGAAAATAGTTCCTCCTTTTATGTTGATTATCACAAGTACTTTGTCACAGTAATGGGAAGCTAATTATGTACAGCCCCAGAGAAAAGGAAGAGTGTGGAGTAGCTGGAAACTACAAAAAAAGTTTGTAAGGCTGGAGTGAATGATTGACATTGAGAAATGGCAAATGAGAGAGGAGAAAAGTTTAAATCAGGAACTACCGGTTAGCTCTCAAAAAAAAAAAAAAAAAGCTTAATCTTTATCCTAAAAGCAATGGAAAACTATTAAATCTGATCACCAGAGAGTGGCCCCCCGTAGCATGAATGTAGCTGGACCGCTTATTCTAGGCTTTTTGCAATCAGCTGTGGGCCTTTGTGTTAGTCAGCTCTTCATTTCTGTGGCTAAATCATCTGAGCAGAATGACCAGGAGAAGGAGATTTCCTTTTGGCTCCCAGGTGCAGAGTCTCCGTCCATGGTTGTCCAGCTCCAGGGCTCTGGACCAGGGATAAGGCAGACCATCCAACACCATGAAAAGTATCACCTTTAGTGTGTTCATGACTTTTAAATAAAGAAAACAGAAATAACAAGTGTACGTGAGGATATGCAGAGAAATTGGAATCTCATACATTGCTGGTAGGAATGTGACATGGTTCAGCCGCTGTGGTTGGTGTTTCTTCAAAAGTTAAATAGAATTATCTTATGAACAACAATTCTATTTCTAAATTTATATATACACAGAACAGTGTAAATAGGTATTCAAGCAAATTTTCATAAAAAGGAATAAAATACTGATACATGCCACAACAAGATTCAACCTAGAACACATGACACTAAGTGAAGAAGCCAGACACAAAAGRTAATATATTTTATGATTCAGTCTGTATGGAATATGCAGAACAGGGGAATCCATGGACACAAAAAGCAGATTCATGGTTGCTAGTGGCTGGAGGGAGGAAGGGATGAGGATTCACTGCTTAGTAGATATAGGTTTTTCTTGGAGGCAATGAAAACCTTTGGGCACACAGTAAAACTTGTGGTTGCACAACACCTTTGAGCCATGTATTAGATGGCTCAGGACTGTGAAAATGTGAATGTCATTGGGATGAAAATATCTAAAAGGAACAATAAAGTTGGTAATGTTCAACAACTAAAAAATTACTACAGAGGTCATATAGGGTCAAATTATTTATTACCACACTATAGCATGTAGAATATAATCACAAATCTTGGAGACTTTAAGGCCTAGTCCAAAGACTAAGAACAAAAATGATTAAGAAATAAGCAGTGCATCTATCATGGGCAGTTATTGTGAAAGTTCAAAGATGTACATCTGATTATGGAGAATGGGAAAATGTCTTGAAGAAGATGACATTAATGGAACTTTAAGGACTAATGGCATGTAAGTGTTTGGGTTGTAGGTAAAGAAATACAATACCACCAGGCAAGGTTTCCTAGTTGCAAGAGGAGTATGTGGTAGATCAAAGCTATTCAACTGTCCAATCTGGTTGACATAAACACTGTATAAATTGGGAACACATATTAAAGAGCAGGTGTCAAAGAACCATGACTCTGTCCCCTTGTGTTCCTAGTATATATTGTAATGATATGCATTGCAATGGTGAATGTCAAAGATAGACAGAATGTTTGTTAAAGTTTTTTGTTTTTTTTTTAGTTATAGACATAATATCTTTATTTTATTTATTTTAATTTATATGTGGTGATGAAAATCTAACGCAGTGCCTCACACATGCTAGGCAAGTGCTCTACCACTGAGAAACACCTTCAGACTAAAACTTGTTTCTCTATAAACTTGGATAATACTAACAGTATATTCCAGCATTTATTACTATTGTGGCGTTCAGACTAAGAAAGGTGTGTGACAAATTTGAAGTAACAGGAAAGCACAGTATAAGTAGAAGAATTGCATTTAAAATGAGTTAGAAATGTGTTTGGGGCCATCTGGGGAAAGTTTGCAAGCTATCCTATGCAATCTGTACTCCACGCATAATACAACAAGAAATCAGGACAGCCTACTGGCCATAACCCTAGTTCTATGGTACAAATGAGTGGGCAGTATGGGGACAGCTGAGTATGGTGCACGATGAGATCACACTGGCAAGTTRTTCAGAAGGCTTAGGACCCTGCCCTCATTTTTCTACTTGGTGTTCAACTAAAGGCCCATCCTTATGAACTGTAGTGAAAWTTTGGGRACATGGAAARAGGGAAATTCTCCATGGAGAGGAAGTGCAACCCTTAGGGAGATGAGAACCTGCCACAGAACAGAACAGTGTTGGTTTCATTATGCCTGATGAAGAAAAGGAAGGGGTGGTCAGCACGGAAGGTTGGTTTACATGATGAGCCGAATAGCACTATGTTTACGGCTGTGGCTGCCACAGCCTCAGTGCCTTCTTCATTCACCTCCATAACACTCTTGTGCACAACCTTGGACAGACACAGGTCTGTCTCAGTTGACATGGCAGACAATTCAGCCTGGCCCGGTTGAAAGGCATCGACCATTCCCAAACGCTGAAGCACAGACTTCATTTCATAATCCTCCTGCAGTTTAAATCTTGGAAGGAAAACTTCCACTTCAGTATTCTGCAAAGAGGCTGCCTTTGTCCAGGCTATGAATTTCTCAAAAGTAAGGTTATTTTCCACCTGAAAGACCAGAATCACAGGTTCATATTCAGACTATTGTGGGTATCAAGGGACACACAGACATTTCCATGAACATTCCTTGTTAACTATCCACACAGGACCAGCAGTGMCTTCAGCTGCCCAGAAGCTTGTGAGAGATCTGACTTGTCCACCACCCCACGTGCTATCCCATATATGATTTCCCTGCAGGAAGACTGTGGCTGTCCCTCTTTATTCATTTACTAGCAAACAATGTTTATTTGTGAAAAGCATCTATGCCTAGTCAGTGGTGCTTTTCTAGTGGTATTTGTTGCTTTGAATGAGGCTTGGTTTTTCACATGGTAAACCATTGCTGGCAAGCCAAAGAGACTGGGCAAAGGAAGGGCTCTCAGTGTGAGCCTCTCCAGGAGAGGGACAAGTGCCTAAGCTGGAATGAGGCACAGTTTGTGGAAATTCATCATCACAGGTAGGGACCTGGGCAGAGGGAAAGCCCATGGGAGCTGCTCTGCTCCCAGTGACCCTTTAGGTCATCACAGGGCACTGCCACCATTGAGAGAATGGTTGACTCTCTTGCAATAGGGATCATATCACAAGGAAGCAAGGAGGACAGGGCTGGGCCATTCGGGCTCTTGGGTTGGAGATACTGTGAAAGAAAGGCACAGGGTGTGCCCACTTCTTCCCACAGAAATTGTGAGTTTAAAAGGAGTGCAGCCCCTCCCAACTCACCACACTGAGGTCCACGTCCTCATCTGGGAGCAGGATGATCATGCTCAGCGTCTTGCCAGCATAGGGCAGCTCCAACACCTTTGTCTGGGCCTCACTGATGTAGATGAAGTTAAAATTGGCTTGCTGCCACATCATCTGCACTGGCCATTTCTCCCCCTGAGAGGAATGACCACATGAACACAGCATTTAAAATGGTATAAAAAGGGCAAGAAACCTCTCAACTCTGCTGGGGTCCAGTACTGCTAGAAATTAATGAATAATTGTCTGAAATATGCCTTATAAATAAGGGGAGGAATTTAATGCATACAAGCTTCCTTATTGCATTACATTGCATCTTAAGGGTTTATAGAATTTAGCAAACTATAGTAATATCAGTTTTATTTAAAGTTGACTAGGGCCTTTGCAGTCATTTTTAATAATACAAAGCAGCAGATGTTGAATCAATAATGATAAGGTATGATTCACAACAATTCAACTGTGAGATTATTTTTTAAGATATTTTTTAGTTGTGCTTGGACACAATAACTAGTTATTTTATTTGTTTATTTATATGTGGTCCTTAGGATTGAAGCCAGAGGCTTGCACATGCTAGGCAAGTGCTGTACYAGAGAGGCACAACTCCAGTACCTAAATGTGACATTATTTTAATTTGAAGAATAATAGATTAAAAATCTGGGGTGTAGCTTCATGGTGCACCACTTGCTTAACATGGAAAAGGTTATGAGGTTGATCTCTCATTGCACAAAAATGTAAAAACAAAACAAAAATCATGATTAAATATATGTGTTTTCACATTCCCTCTTTGTGCTCTGTCTCATGTCTGATATATATATATATATATATATATATATATATATATATATATATATATATATTACATACATACGTATGTCACCTCTTTTTGCTTTTTATCCAAGCAACTTGTGTCTATAAGGAGATATTTGTGTCCAGAATAAGGTTAAACCAATACATTATGAGACTTCATCAGAGGCATTTAAAGTGCTAATAGTCTGTAAACCATAATAGATAGCAAGTATTATTTATTCAAGTCATTTTTCCACTGAGATTAAAATTCATTAAAAGAGATGATAAGTTTGAAATTATTATTATTAAATTATTATTAATTTATTATTATTAATAAATTATTATTACAACGTTAAATTTTCTATTCAATTTCTTCCTCAGACTAGCATAATTTTTGAAAGTCTCTCCCTACCTGGTTTATTTTGAAAGGCATTTCTTTTGTGCGTGCTTTGTCAAATGTCTCGTCCCATATTCCTTGGAAGTAGATGGCATTGACAAGAACCAGCCTGGTCTGCTCATCAATCGAGCCCATTGGTAGCAACTCTGGAATTTTACCTTTCAAGAAAAGCACAAATTCTGTCAGTTGCTTTTTCTGAACTCATGGTGAATAAACATCACAATGATGTCTTGGAGATCCAAACATTATGGTTTCAAATGTGCTGAGTTTGGATGATATGTATCAAAGTCAAAAATCCCAGCTGTGAATGGTATTATTGATGATAGACACTGGAAGAGCCACCAAATTGAAGATGGTGAAAGACTTCTATGTCACTGGAGGAAAGCAGGTTGGGACAAAGCAGAAACTTGACACCAGGTTGGAGAAGAAGACAAGCAGCAAAGGAGAGAGGGGCTGGGTAGGAGCTGACATTACTTACTGTGGTAAGAGCAGCTTCAGGTCTAAGACCCTGTGGTCAGGCCCAGTTCTAACACTGTACAGATAGATACCTGGCCACATTCCTGAGGCACACAGAATTGTAATAGCTCCAGAGCAGGGACATAGGAGGAGTTTCTGGAAGCTATATAAGAGATAATATGATTGCACCCTCCTGACACCTGGAATCCCTGGAACAGGTAATAATTTGGATAGGTGAAGGTATGTCCTTCTTTACCTGTACATCAAGTGGTATGTTTCCAAGGAACTAAGAGCATCCCTGATAATTTGCTGCCTCTAGAGGGCACAAGAAGAGAAGACTCCAAGAAGAAGTAGTGGAAAGAACTACCTCTATTTTTTACTGTCTCATTTGTGAGCAGAAATAGGGACATTCCTAGAGATGTGTAAGTGACTGATGGTTCAAATATCAAACCATTATTGATCTAGAGGACCAAAGTTAGAAGTTGTCACTCTCTAAAACAGAAATGAGTACATTTTCACCTCACAAGCAGGGTGTTTTCAATCTGTGGAATGGATCAGCCCTGAGAGAGGTTGACTAATCAAGTCTAGGCTTCTCAAGTCTGATGAAGGAGACTTACGTGAGAGATAGGAAAGAAGAAGTAGGAGAAGTCATCTTAACATGTAAAAGTTGGAGAAGTGAAGTCCAAACTGACCCCAGGAAGAGGAGGGCCAAGGGCATGACTTGGGAAGATCTGGCCATTGATCTGTTCCCATAGATGACAGTCATCTGCTGTGTGAACAATACAGGCCATTGACATGTAAAGTATTACATGGGAAATCTGACCTACAAGTTTCTATTGACACTTGCATCAGCCACTCTGGCCCTGGGAAAACAGACAGCATTGATTCTCTGGTTTTGAAAACCTGAGCACTGATCAGATCTTCTGTGAGCCACTAGGTTCACAGGCACCAAGAGGCTCAGCCAGACAAACTTGCTCTGATGGTTCTGCAACACCAGTGACATTAGCAATGAGGAGAAGAGGTAGAAGAGAGAAGTGAAGAGAACAGAGGTGGGGTGGGAGGAGAGGGAAATAACTTATAATTCTGACCTTCCGTCTCTTTTGAGACCCAAGTATTTATATGCTCCCTGGACTTCTCTGTAGCTTCAGCAAAGGACAGCAGCTCCAGCTCCGCATGGTAGAACTGAAGACAGGATGCCTTAAATGTCTTTGGAGAGAAATAGTTCAAATGGCCAGGTTGCTCAATAAAATGACAGTGAGCTTCAAGGAATTCTGAAGGCTATTTTTAGGTTGTTCTTCAAATTAAAAACATGATCAAATCTTAAGCTACTTGATGGTGAAATATTTCAGTTTGTTAGGAGATATTTCCTGAGCTCGAGAGAAAATAAATGAAATTTTAGATATTGCCAAAATTGAAATAATACAAGTTATGTTTGTAGAATTGGGGTCTTTATAAAAAACAGTTTACTGTGAGTTTCTCAAGTTCTCTGGAATATTGTCCTTTTATTTACCTATTTATTTATTTATTTGTTTGTTTTCTTATTTATTTATTTTTGCTTGGTTTGGCAGTACTGGGAATTGAGCTCAGGGCCTTGAGCATGCTAGGCAAATTCTGTACCACTGAGCTATGTCCCAAGGCAGTTTTCCATTTTGTTTTTGAGACAAGGGTGTCACTAGGTTGCCCAAGATGGCCCCTTACTCTCCATCCTCTTGTCACAGCCTCCCCAAAATGCCATACTGCCTGGTTTCTAGGGTCTCTCTTCTGGGTTGTATATTTCTAGGTATTTTAAATTCCACTTTTATTGTTCTGTTGAATCAGCTTACTGAGAGGAAATCATAGGTCTTCTCTCCAAAGAGCCTGTTGACTGTTGTAAGCAAGTACTTAGACCCAGGCTTGTTCACTTGGGTGAGAAGCATCTGGAAGCCCTTATGGATGTCTTCCTCTGTGTTTAAAGACATTGCCTGTGAAGGAAAGCATGAAAACCCTCTCAGTTTTGATCTTGATCTCCACAAGAATTTTCAAGCAATATTCTTCTCAAATACTGCATGAATTTATCCTTTGAGAGGAAGTTGATTCTAATTGAGAAGTGACACTGGTGGGATAGGTGGAGAGAGGGGCCAGGAAACTGCTGAGTAAGATACGGGTTTTGCACCTGCACAGAGCTCTCTGCATAGTTTATAGATGAGCAATATTACAAAACAAAAGGGGCAAGAGAGATTCAGAAAAGGGACTATTCTTAAGTCGTATATCCCATGGAAACCATAAATTTGTCAGGAATAGAGAAAAACTTTCCTCTATTTATGTACAAAATAATGCAGTTCAAAACAGTAATATTACTTGCCTTTATTTATTTACAAAGATGCAGTTCAAAAAACTAAAAGTCCAAGAAAAATTTGGACAGGAATGCAATCATCATGATAACATTTAAAAGGAAATAAAAGTATAAAATGAGCAATATGAATAATAAGAATAAATCAGTTCTTAAACAGTATCCTAGAGAGAGATAATATATGATTACTATATGATACTTTATATTTCAATAAAGGTGTCATATTCAACAAGGGAGTTTCATTTGACTGTGAAATACGTAAATCACACAATTTATATTTAATGACGTCAATGTAGGAAACTAAAAATCAATAACACTACAAATAAAATACCAACAACATGGAAATTATCCTACTAACTAGTTATTAAGAACAATTTCTAAAGAAATAACTTTCCTATGTAACAAATAACTAACATGTTGACTATTGTTTTCTTCATATTTACTCAGCACTAGCTTTTGACATAGTATAAATAAGTGACAAAGCAGCACAACTTTGGCATGCAATCTTAAATGACAGTACTCAAAAAAATCTATAAAACTCATATTCCTAGAATTTGCAAAATGACTTCCGTTTCCCAACATAATTAAATTTAAGCTACATGTATTTTTCTCAGTCTTCCAGTTGGTCAATATACCTTCTTTTTTGCCTAGATATTAGCCAGAAATTAACAAGAAAAGTCCTGTCACCTGGCAAAGATGTACAACCAAATTACCAAACCTTTTATTTTGTAACTGGAATGCTAACGGAATATATAAGGTATTCAGCAAAGGGGTCAATGTGACTTGGTTTGATAAGTTAATTTGAAAGAAAAAATATATAAACATCTTATATCCCACACAAACTGAAGTTTCCTGAAYAATTTAAAACCAGAAAGAAAAACCTTTTAGTAAATTAATTTTGACCATGAAAGAAATTAGCAGAATGACAATTCTACAAGAAACCAATTTGAATCATTTTCAAAAGTGGTAATACAGGTTTGTGTAGTTTCAGTCTTTTCAACCTTAGAAGCAAATCTGAAACAACAGTAGTAACAGGCAGGAGCAACAGGCATAATGTAATGGCAATCTTTTGAGAATATTTGTGTATTAACACAATCATATTTTTGTTAGTCTATTCACTCCACAGTTGTTTTCTTATGAATAAGCATGGTCACAGTAGACACATAGAACATATCAGTTAAGTCTCTTGTCACAACAAGCATTAGAAGTTTTTGGAGCTGTTTCTTGTGTGAAATATGATTTTGAGTAGCAAGTTGTTTTTCCTCTGTGGCTCATGCCCAGGCCTGAGATTTGCAGTACTGTAGGACCAGTTTACCATCACTGCCCAAACATCCCTCATCTGGGGGAGGAGCAAAGGACTGATTCTCATAAGTGAACAACTGTTCTAAGGCCACAAGTTTAAGGAACTTCTTGATGAAGTCAATGAGTCCTTGCATGATTCAGGTTCTCTCTACAACCCAAATTTGTTTTCATTATAGGGGTACCCCACAGCCTTTAGAACTATGTCCATTTTTATCTTGGTGTCACTGGAAGGACCTCTCCCTGGCAAGACTGCAGCAGAAGAAGGGGACTCTGGAGTGGCTATTATTGGGGAGACATCCGTAAGTCCTTCATGCCAGCAGCAGCAGTTGAARAGAGTTTCCACACTGACCTTGATGATTCTTAATAAAGACTAAAAATGTTTATCCTCTTCTAAAGAATGATTCTCATATTTAATATAATATTTAAATATATGACTTATAATTTAGAAAATAATATGAATGTTCTATTATCAAACCAAGTAATTTCATCAAAAAATAGTTAAGCAGCATTAATTATTTTAATGTTCTAAAGGAAATAATGATATAACAAAACTCCCAACACAAAATGTTAGAAAAGGAAGAAAAAAATCCTGAGGAATTTAGGGAAAAACACAAAATGCTCATGAGTCCAAGAATTGATTTTTTCAAAGAAAGCACACTTATCTACACAACATAGACAGAAATCACCAATTTTAAGAAACAAATTTTCAATACTCACAAGAAAAGTTATAAATGAAAAAGAGATTACACAGYAACCCCTGCAAGCAACCACCACAACATTTCACTTGAGGAAACACCTCAGCTCCCTCCTTCCCTTCGTTCTGTACCCTCTCCCTAAAATGGTCCAGGGTCACCCCTCCTTCCTCAACAGTTCTGGAAAACTCAAGGAGGGGATAAAAGACAACCTTGCAGACCGTCTCTCCTCCTGAATGACAGGTGAGCTTACCTGAGCCATCTGGTCTTTGGTGTTCCCCTTTGCCCCCAGGAGGACCATGGCCAAGGAAGAGGAGATGCTCAGGGGAGAAAAAAACACATTTTGTGAAGGTCTGTCTTGACACAGCATCTTCAAAACCTGGATGGCAAAGGCGCCATTTGCTTTTGAAAGAGAATCCATGATGCAGGGTCTGGGGGCAAAGAAGACAGAGAAACACAATGAAATGGGGCTGAGGACACTGTGTGTGGTCTCTGCTTGGCTTTCATTTTTCTTATGAATCAGAAAATTTCTGAGTACCAATGAAAGCCATGGGAGTAGATTAGACATGTGAGGAAGGGGCTGGTGTCTGTAKAACATCAAACTGTCAAGTAAAGGAAGAGCAGAAAGGCATGCAGAGGAGAACAGAAGTTGACAGGTTGAAGAAAGAAGAGTGAGTAGTCAAAGAAAGAGCAAGAAGGTGCTACTTGAAGCCAGAGACAGTGGGTTTAAACACCATGGGGCAGCTCTATGCAGTGAGACCCTCCCTCACCCGAGGAGGGCCTTAGATCCTGGGAAACCTCCTTGACAGCTTCCCATTTCTCAAAGATCCCCCCAAATCCCTGCCCAAGCCTGCCTTCAGTACCCTCCCAAATCATTCTACCCACTCCACTTCTCTAGCCCCTGTGATCCTGTGCCTAGTACAAACCACATGTCTCCCCTGAAAAGCCTCTGACCTCTATGACCATGAGATCCCAAGTACAATCAGCATTTGCTCACTAAAATGCAAAGCAAGTGGGCTGGGAAATATCAGAACATGGGCATCCCATGTTCTGATAAGAACAAGAAGTGGTATCTTGATCCTTTGAGCTCTCCCTTAAAGCTCCAGTGGTGCTTGGGAGAAGCTCAAAACGTGTTTTGTAGATGGCATCCCACCTGCCTGGCCCGGTAGTTTGCTGCAGTTCTCCTCTATCACAGCCTCCACCTCTACCCACCATGATCCACCCAGTTACCTCTGAGCCTTGGAAAATAGTGATATACAAATTAAGAGATTCCCCTTCAAATCTCTGTCACTAGGCTCAAATCACTCATTGCTCTCTCCTAGGCTCAGCACCAAGAGGCACCAGATGTCCTAGTCTACAGCTCCCTCCTCCCCACCCCGACTCATCACTGCAAATTGTAATTCCTTTTCTCATTTATTGTTGGACCCACAAGATTGGCAGGAAAGGTACCTGGAATCCTGATTTTAAGCACATGCAAGTATGCTCAGGAAACAGCAAGAGCTCCATCAATCAGGGGGAAACCTCAGATAAATAAAGGGTGCACTGGTTGTGAACTGGATACTGGAGATTTTAAAAGCACAGTGAAAGGTAAGGCAGAGTTATTCTGTGACTCCCTGAGGAGAGGGGAGAGGTGAGAAAATAGGGCGAGTAGGTGGGAGTGGTGTTGGAGCATGAACACCCAACATGGAGAGGTCCAGAGCCAACCAGGGGCAGGCAAGAGGCAAGAAGAGAACCCAGGAGGCTGTGCAGCATCTTTGTCTTCTTGGAACCCTGCTTCACTTCTCTGGGACTTGCCCTAAGTAAGGTCCTGCTGCACCATTGACCCCCATGATCTCCCAAGAAGCTGTTTCTAAACACAGCAATGACACTGACTTTTTAGATTGTCTTTTCTCATCTCAGTCTTTGGCATCCCTTCTCCCAGTGGTGGCCTGGAGTTTCTAAACTTACCTGCCATGGTCCATTTCAGCCCCTGCACAGAGAAGTCCTCACCTGCCACCTTCCACAGAGTCTCTCCCTCAGGTCTCAGTGCTGCTAGCCTTGTGCTGACTTCTGAATCACAGGACCAGGATCTACAGCTGTGCCTCTCTCAGGTCCACTGTGGGGCCTCTGCACTCCCAGAGACCTTTTACCAGGCCTGATTAGATCTGGGAATTCCTACCTTCCAATTAGCATTCAGTGCCCCAGGGAAGAAATCCATGGGACCTGACTCAGGTCATGAATTCCCTTGCTCTTTCTCCCCTAGCCTGGCCTCTGTCACCCACTGGTTTGCACTGGAACACCAAGGGAGACACTGGGGTGGAGTTGCACACAGCAAGTTTTCTAGAGGATTCTGAAAGTGAAAGCACTCTAAACTGACAGCCAAAAGCAGGCTGCAAAGTCCCCTGGGAAAAACACAGTGGGGACTGGGGAAGGACACAGAGCCTACAAATCTGGGCTTCCCTACTGACAGAAAGAAAAGACAGAATGACAGGCTGAGRTTTTAGGGGAGGAAAGTCCTACAGGTCTGTATTCTGAGCCTCCTGCCTGACAAAAAGGAGAGATTGAGCTAAATGGAATGTGTCCCTTTCCCTTATATGCTGTTGGTGGGAATGTCAATTAGCCCCATCACTATGGGAAATGGTAAGGAGTTTCCTCAGGAACTAAAGGTAATGCTACCTACCACATGATTCAGTTATACCACTCTTCTCTGTGTTCACGTGAAGGAATCAATGTCAGCATAGTAGAAGAGACAGCTGCATACCCAAGTTTGTCCCAACATAGTTCACAAGAGCCAAATTATGAAATCTGCCTAGGTGCCCATTAGCAGATAAATTCATCAAAAAAGTGGTTAGTATATGTGTACAGTAGAGTTTAATTTATCCATAAAAAGGAAGGAAATGTGATTTGTATGAAAACATATAAAACTGGAAAACATCATGTTTAAGCAAAACAAGTTTCAGAAAAGCAAGTATATGATGTTTTCTTTCATATGTGGAGTATAGAGAATGCTATAAAATGACATGTAAGTAGAAGATGGACTAATAGGAAAGATAAGGGGTGAGGAAAGTACAAGGGGGGAGAAGAGAGTGTTACAAGTAGGGTGGATTCAGTTAGAGTACTTTATATGTATGCATGAAATTGCTACAATTAAACAATTTTTTTGCATACTTACTATGTACTCATAATTATATAAAAATAAATTTTTAAAAATGTTGTTTCCAACATTTTTGTGTATATAATTATAATTTAGTGTATATAATTTGTGTATATAATTTAGTGGTAGTGTGCTTGCCTCATATACACAAGACTCTGGCCTTAATCTCCCACACCAGAAAAAAAAAATAAAAACTTTGTTTTCCAGTTTCTCTACCACTCATTATTACCAGTGCAGCACCCTCTTAGAAAACACAGTGTCCAAAATCGAAGCAGCTGATCCCTTTCCAACTTCTGGTGCTTAGGCTGTGGAACTGGTTTATAAGCAGACCTACTCCTCATTGGCAATGTGACAGAAACAGAGACTGAATCAAAATGGCTCAGGTCCTCCAGTGTGTCCATCAGCAGTATCTGAGGCAGGGACCACCTGGAGCACATTGGTTTAGTAGTTCATGTCATCCAAGTTCCACACACTTCCCCATCCCTCTTTGTACCAACTTCAAGCAATTGGAAGTACTTCATGTTGACATGTTGTCCCAAGAAGAGAGCAGACCAAATGTCTCTTCCTCTGAAGCAGGGAACATTTTATAGAAGTTTGTCCATCAGCAGATACCTGTCTTTTTTCAAATTAATGAAAATTAGTTTTCTCTCCTGAGTGCCTGAATTAGGGTGAGGCAAAACATTTATCAGGCACACTTTCTTAGGTGCTACCCCTCCATTTAAATGACCCCGAGAATGAGGGCTTCCATAAATTTTCACTGAAGGTACAATGCCATTTTTTAATAACACTATTATTCCTTGGCACATGCCTGTAATCCCAGCAGTTAGGGAGGCAGAGGCAGGAGGATCTAGAGTTCAAACCCATCCTCAGCAAATTAGCAAGACCCTGTGCCAATCAAAAAATAAAAATATTTGGGGATGTGGTTCAGTGGTTAGGTGTCCCTGGCTTTACTCTCTGTATACAAAAATAAATAAATGAATACACGTGAAAGTAAACAGATAAATAATGCTTGTAAAAAGCTGGATATGCTTACCATATATTGATAAGAGAAGGAATCTGAGACATTCTAAATTCAGTTATAAGTAGGATGAAGGAAAGAAAAGATATGAGTTTAACTGATAGTTTCAAGCTAAACCAAGAAAGAAAAAAAATAACTGCAGCATATTTCTTTCCCATATTTTTAAGATCAGCCATTGAGACAAAATTTTATTCTGTTTATTGACTCAACCAACCAAGAGGCTACAGAAACATGTCTCTACTGACTCTCTTCCTATCCCAGTCATATCCCTCTTCTCTCTATATATTGTAGATTTAATGAAAGTAATCTGCACCTCCTGCTCCCTGGATTTTTACAACAAAATATCTTTAGATCCAGTGGACATTTTTCCAACTGCTACATGATAATGCTGCTAGTGACTTAGGGAATTTGCCCATGGACCAGGCTAACAACATGCACAGCTTGTATTTCAGAGATCTCTCCATCTCAAAACTATGGTTTAACAATACTCACCCCTTGAAATCATTCAATTTCGAGTATTCACAGAGCTGTACAATTGTCACCACTATCTTAGTCAAGAACATTTACATCACTTCAAAAACAAATGGGATACTCATTTATAATTATTCTCCAGTAACTGCTCCCTCTTCCCCAAGCTCTGGAAACCACTAATCCATATTTTTCTCTAKGTATTTGCCTACTGAGAGCATTTCATGTAAGGAATCATACAGTCTGAGGTAGTTTGTTACTGCCTGATTGCAATCTCCAGCTTCTGTAACTTGGCTTGCTTGCATTGGTTAAACCCCCAAACATCCTTTTTGTGGTTTTCAGGCTTAAAAGGGGCACCCTTACAATTGTTCGGGGCTGATCAGGGGAACAACTTTATGTTCTGGTCAGTCGCCACTTGTGTGCTTCGATAAAGGCTTGATTCAATTATGAATCAAGTGGTCTGAAAGTCAATTTATGAAACCCTGGGATGTTGCTTTAACTATAACTAAGGCTTTGGCCATTTGGAGCATTTGTGGGTCTTCTGAGTGGCTCTGACCACACCTACACACTACACTTCTCAKGCTCTGCACATTAATGTGGGCATTCTCAGGAGCTTCTCAGGGATTCYTGGAGCAGCAGGGGCTCWGATGAGATGCTAATAAATACTTTAAGTATAATTACACTAAAACTAAGGTTTGTTTGAAATAGGGAACAGAGAGATGTGAGCAGTGGGAACATGAGGTTAAAGGAATAATTCTAAT